TATGTTCTTACTTAAACAACTAAACACATATTAAATAAAGACAACCTAAGGATTTCTGTCCTTTTGCATAATTTTGCACCGTCAAAGTTCATCAAGAATATGAAGATTAAAATTATATTACCAATAAAAAAATAATGATGTGCTGCACCCCTGCTTGTTTATACGAGACACATTTATTATAAGTCACTTTCACCTCACTATATTTGCATGTAATATGCCACAGAAATAGGCTAATAAAGGTCAGAAAACATGCATCATTTTGTCCAACATACTTATAACTCAGAAGCTGTTTATGTCCTGCAGAGGTAAGGTTAATTTTTTGTGCAAAATCACCAAGGAGATGTTTTAAGCATTGGCTCAATAAATACCCCTTAGAGTCCTGCAGCGTGCAAGTCCTTTCCTTTGTTGTTTTGGCTCAATCTATGCAAACATTTTAACACAGCTTGGAAAAATTGTTTAATAGCACCTGGTTTCGTGCATTTATGTGCATTCAAAAGGCTTGAGATTTAATCAGTAGTTCTTTTCATTATACTGAAACGTGAAGCTAAGTTTTGCAGCTGACGATTTGTAAGTGAAACTCATACAAGTAATGGGCCAAAACACACCAACAAATCAAATCAAAATGCATAAAGAAGATATGAATCAAGACTGCAAAGGCCAAGTTAAACTCTAGATTAAAACTGTAAAATGTCGATTCAATGACTGGACCTTAAATAAAGTATCAATGCATGCAACCTGCTTTGAATTGAAATATTAGAAAATAAATTGAACCATAATTCAACTAAATCAATATGAGAGATCAAAATAAATAAAAACTTGAAGCTTTTGCTTACTAAAAGTGTTTCTCTGAAAGTTTTTAGGTAGTTTGTCTCTCTCCGCTGTTGCGTGTTCATGATTTTTATGTTGAATTAATGAAAATCATAAAACTAGAATTTTGGCACATATGTCATCACTTTTAGAGGACCAGATGGTTTTTATTACTTCCTGAAATGTAAATCTGCAGATTATTGTTGCCCACTTTACCCAGAAACTTATAGAAGAAGCCAAATGATTACGCTGACGTCTAAAAATAATTAAATGTTGGAGTCAACTCAAATCAAGATGTCTGTTACAGCTGATCAGCATTAGCAAACATATGGCAATGGCTGAAATTCACAGATACAAAGCTGATTTAGGTCAGACCGAAGCTTCGTAGACCATTCTCCCATCATCCAACTGGAATCTGTGTTCCTGATCCGTTCCTGTTACTGATTCTGTCTCAGACGCTCAAAACTGTCTAGAAATATGAGTTTAACGGTGCAATTAACAATGACATCCTGTGGTCAAATGTGGTTACTGAAGTCTATTTTTTAAACAAAAATATGACCCTCTCACTCCCGTTCTGTGAGTGTCATTGCTCTTGGTCCCCAACCTTTTTCCCAAGGGACCCTGTTTTTACCAGTAAAATTTCTGACGACCCCCTCCCATTCTCTCTTCCAGTACAAACATTATTAAGAAATGATAAAATTCTTCAAGCACATTTTAATATGCTTTGATTCAATAGATAACAGTAATAGTAGGCTCCAGTACAGAACAAAGTCATTAACAAAACCAAACAGAGCATAATGTGCTTGACAGTTTGTATTACTTTTCTGAACACATTGTTTCTTGTAAACAACGATAAATCAATCATTCATTTCAATAAACGTTTGACACATAAAAAATACACTTAGCAAAATGTACTTAAATGTGTATATTACTGTTTATACTAGATTATTTACTGTAAACGCTGTGATTAATCAACCAGTCCTATCTTTAATGAACTTTTGACACTTGAAAATAAAACAGTGAGATGAGCAAAATGTTCTTAAAAGTGTGTTACTCTTTCTGTACTAATTATTTCCTGTCTTAATATCAGTAAACTTTTCACTCATGAAAAAAAAGTGGGCAAAATGTAGGCTATAAACAAGTAATAAATGAAGTTTTAACCCCTTAAAGTGGAGAGGTCCTGACGACCCACTGAGAGGCTTTGGCGCCCCCTTGTGGGGTTCGGGTTCCCCAGGTTAGGAACCACTGTTCTAGATGACAAGCAAAGACTAGTATTTGACAGTAAGTCAAAAAAGTGTGCCCTACACCTTTCTCCTGCATTAGCTTCTGATTAAAAAAAAATAACCAGATGAAATACTACGATTTGAAAAGCCTGACAGATCTATGTCAAGCTGTCGCTTGGACTCACCCATATTGACTCGCGACAGGGATGGTTGTTGTCGGTTTAGCGTCCAGACAAGGGCAGAGAATGTCTCAACTAGTAGAAGCCAGTTAGCAACCCCGACACACGGAATAACTCCTTCAGGTGTTATTTGTGGAGATAAAACATAAACGTTGCAGAGCAAACAGAGTTTGTGGTAGAGTTGCATTGCTGTTGGCCAACCTGAGGCAAGATGTCCAGAAAAAAGGACTCAGAATCTTGCCGTCTGAAGCTACTTTCTCTTTCAGCTGAGTTCTCCGTGCTGAAACAGAGGCATCCCAAATACAACTTGCAATACATTCACTCCTACTAAAGACCACTGCAAAGGGCCATTCCCATCTGTACCGGGTCGGCCCGGGCCGGGTAGCGTAGGTTGTTTACATATCTGGGTGGCCTGGTATTTTTCCGGGCCAACCAAGGCTCATTCTCAGCCCTCTTCTCGAGGGGGTCTGCTTCAGGCCGACCAGGGCCAACACGCCCACTGCTGACAGCAAATTCACACCTTCCATTAGAGCAAGCCTCTGATTGGTGGGTAGAATCAGCCCACACGGGCTTAAGACAAGGATGTGTGGAATCAACCGGGCCAGGCTAGGGCCGACCGGAGATACCCGGCCTGGGCCGACCCGGTACAGATGGGAATGGCCCACAAATGTGTTAAAAATATTAAGTGAAGGACCTCTTTTAAATTTGCCCTTGAAACTAAAATGTCTGTTTTTTTTTACCCTAACCCTGACTTCCTGTTGAGATTACACTTCTGCCCCTTACTCCTGTTAACGCATTCAAAGCTCAGGTCATCAGTTCTTTCAACAGCGCCCCATACACAAAAATATGATGTCATCAGACATCCGGCAGGTCTGGTTTGGAAAATGAAGCACCTTGAGTTCATGACCGTAAAAACACCTCCTCCTAATCAAAGGGACTGGAGAATAACTCTGTACCTTTTATATTATGTAGGGGTTACAGCAAATGGAAAAAATCAGAGCTCTTCCACGCTCCTCCTTTTCAGTCTGAAATCCATTTTTTGTGTGATCTCTTCAAGAAGGCGGTGGCCAAAAGGGAAAATATAATTGTGTCTGTTACTGGTATTATCCAGCAGGATGCCCAGGTGAAGTCGTGCTGTACTGTGTGTGTGTGTGTGTGTGTGTGTGTGTGTGTGTGTGCGTGCGTGCGTGCGTGCGTGCGTGCGTGTGTGTGTGTGTGTGTGTGTGTGTGTGTTTCCACGCACATCACAGTGAGTTGGGCAGCTTTCTTTGCTAGTAAACACCAAGCCGCCTCATAAATATTTGATCTTATTCTCTCTCTGCTGTATAACCTGTTCTGGCAGCACTTTCTGGTACCGTACGTCTTCCGTGCGCTCCTCATACTTCACATAACATCCGTCCTAATAACAGGTGAGGCTGCTGACATCTCATTTCATGTCCGACACCGCATGTTCGCTTGATTCATTATAGAAATTAGGTTATGAATCCTATACCTTCAGATTAAAAAAAACACACACACACTAAGTTTAGTGCAGTGCTGCAATCTAGAATACTCAAGGAGAGGTTGCCATGGAAACAGAGTTACATTGGCCAGAAATGAAAGCGACTAAGGATTTAGACTTTCACTGTACATCAAATTTTAAGTATAGATTGTTTCTGCATCAGCATTTCCACCGACGATGCTCTGAGCATTTCAAACTCAAAGTATTTGGGAAAAAATGGACACACTGATGTGGGAATGTTGTGCTATAAATATCTGCTGATTATAAATAAATCACATTCCTGAAATGGGTTTTCTTTAATACCCTGAAATCCAAGGAATGTGAAGAAAACTGCAGAACATAAACCAAGCAAAGTCTAATGAAAATAATAAGATTGTGTTTGATGTTAAATCATGTTTTGTCAGTATTATTGTTTCATTATGCTAAGCTGAGCACATTTCACTGCTCTCATTCTGCATTGCACCATGTATTAATATCATTTCATAATGTTCTTTTTTTTTTTACACGTCTGCCCTCGACAGAATGATCCTGCATAAATACTGCATGCCCTGAGCTGAAGGGTCACGCTGTGTGTCTGTTAATACTCAGCTACAATAAAACTTTAATAAAACTGCAATGAATCTCAATCATAAATATCTATCAGGAACCGAGCGTCTTCACTAATCACCGTCTGCAGCATTTGCCCAGAGGCCTTCGTGTCACATCTCCATATGCTGCTGTCTCTGAGCTGGTCCTTTCAGTCTGTAGCACCAAAGGGAGCTCCATGGAGTACTTTATCAACTGTGTCAAATACTCAATTGAATTTTAAAATGACCACATTGGAGTATTCTTCTCGGGGCATTGCTCATTTTGTGGAAATGTAATTCTGTAACTCCGAAGGGGCCTTAGAAAGCAAATTATGGCGCCCTCTGAGAGCAGCAGCCCGTGCAGAGTGCAGTGTGTTTCCAATTGGAGGGGGGGTCTATTAATCCTAATATTGACCAGGAAAGAGTTACGCCTCTCAACACTCATACATCACTTGAAAACCTGCCAAACATCCACAAACATCTGATTTCACCAAAAACCTGGACGCAAATTCAACATTTGTGATGAATAGATTTCTGCTACAAAAGTGAAAATCAATAAAATGCAATCAAGAGTTCAATATTGAGCCCATATTGAGTATGAACAAGTAGAAGCTGTGAAAATGCTCAATATCATAACTAAGATTGGTTGTGAAAACATTTCACATCCTCACTCTGAACATCTAGTGACCTGAGCTGACCCTGGAAGCGTGTTGATTTCACCTACCTGTGGTCTCTACGATCCCTTCTAGAATCACCACAATCTCAAACTGCTCTGTTTGCATGGACCTCTGCGAGAGCTCGTAGAAGGGGCTTTTGGTGTCAATGACATGGCAAATCGTCAGCGGAGAGACGAGGAAGAGCTGGTCTGCCCCAGTGCTGAAACCAACGTCCAGCTCCAACTGATCCAGAGGAAGAAACTCGCCTTCGGGCGTTTGGCGAGACTGAGGAGGCATGAAGGGAGAGATAAAAGGTAAGATGAAAGGCAGGGTTATCTGTAGCTTTATCTCTGTGCTTGTTTAAAACACAAATAAATGTATTTATATTTAAATATTTAACTTCCCATGGACTTTATAGAATGAGAAAATCAGATTTTAGCAAGGATTTGATGCACTATTAGATAAAAAAGCTGTTGAAATTTAGAAACATCTGATTCTGGCTTCCATCTTTGGTCCAGTTAAATTGGTCTGTCTTTATTGCTGCACGTTAGGATAAAAACAGACTTGCTTACCTTTCTGGAACTTTTAGTTGTATGGAAACAAGAACATAAACAAAAGGCTTCAAACAGCCGTAAACGTGATGCATTTATCATTTTTACTGCATTTTTGCTGGCTCCATGCAGTCTTGTCATTTCTGAAAAGTTTTTACATCTTTTACCTCATTAACTTGTTTTTACAAAGAAGAAGAGTGTTTTTGCATTCTGGAAGCTTTTTATAAACTAATATCTACAACTGGGTATCATTCTGGTCACTAAGTCATTATTGTGGCAGGGGCAGATCTACTGGGGTGGAAAAGGGAGGCCCTTGTCACCCTAAAAGAAAGCCTTGTTACCCTTCTGGCCACCCCAGCTGGCAACAATAAACTTAATAGTTATGGCAAATCGGACATGACGAACGTGAACGTTGCATGTTTGACTACACAAATTACGACTTAAGATGATAAAAAGATCCAAGCAAGTGTTGCATCAATGACGCAATTTCCCATATCCTAAATCAGCACACGTATGTTATGCTCTCAACTGCGCACTTCCTCCAAGTGCACTTCACATAAGACATAGGGGCAATGTGAGTATTGGGATTATGCCTCCATTATTTTCTAGGTCCACCACTGGTGCATGGGCCTTTTTGCTCAGTTTCTTAGAATAAAACTCAGCTGGTTGTTATTTATGAAGGTGGAGATAAAGAAAGACCAAACTCCCACCAAAAGTACCCCCACTTACTTTCAGCAGTTTGCAGCGGATCTGTGCAGACACCATATGGCTATTACGCAAGTTGCCCACCCTGAACATGAGAGTGAGTTTCCCATCTCGCATGGAAATCGCTGCGTGTTCACTGAACATCAGCGTCTCGGCCCTCTTCTTGGGTTGAGACATCTTGATGAACATGCATCCGATCAGAAATGCGTCGACTATCGATCCGAGGATCGACTGAAAAAGAAAGAGAATGATCCCCTCGGGGCATTTGTCTGTAATGTATCTGTAACCGTATCCTATCGTGGCCTCGGTCTCTATGAAGAACAGGAAGGCCGAGGGGAAGTTGTAGACGTTGGCCACGCACGGAGTGTACTTGTCGTTGTGCGCCTTGTTGAGGTCTCCTCTGATGTAGGCGATGAACCACCACATGGAGGCCATGAAGAGCCACGCCACGGTGTAGGTGAGGATGAAAATAAACAGATTCCAGCGCCATTTCAAATCTACCAGTGTTGTGAACAAGTCTGAGAGGTATCTGCTGGTTTCACCACCCAGGTTCCCATGCTGGACGTTGCATCGCCCGTTCTTGTCCACGAAGCGCTGCCTCTTCTTCTTTTTCTCCGGGGGAGGCTGATTGAATCCAGACCCGCTGGATGAGGTGGTCACTACCTGATAATCGTCCCCAAATTTCTTTCGAAGTGCAGACATACTACGAAGAAAGAAATAACGAAGGGCTCGGTTTGTGTAGAAAGTCTCGCCTGTAGTTGCTGTGGTTAGTGTCCGTGCGCAGTGTCTTCTGTTTGGACATAAAAGTGAAACGTGTCCGTCCCAATTAGACTTGCGCTGTCCTCTTTTGCCACGCACTGCTGTTGCTGCGCTCTACAGCCATGAAAAATATAATGTACGAGTTATCCATAAAGCCCAAAGACAGCAGCCATTAGAAAAAATAAAATAACGAATTAAATTAAAAATAAAAATAAAAATAACAGGCGACGCTAAGGATGAGGTGTCCAAACGCGCCAGCCGCAGGTTCTTACGGGTTTATCAGTCGCTGCGTCGTGAATTACTCATCTCCCGTGAAGGCTGGGGCTTCACCGAGCTGTTCGGAACTGTACTCACACAATAAGTTGTCATCGGAAAGTTGAAAGTCCCTCTGCGCCGCGGCAAAACGCACCAAAAATCTCTGCGTAAGTATTCGACGGGAAGCTTCAACGATGAAACCTCTCTGTGCGCAATGGAGATCGTCTCGGAGATGAGTCTGTTCTCCGTCCTCTGATCGGAACCAACGGGAGGCAAACTCCCAGCATATGGAACATAAAATCGTCGAGCTGGAGGGAGAAAATCAACGTCCCACTGTCGTCATTTTTGGAGGTTTGCGCGCATCGACGCTGATCGTCAAAGCTCCTCTTTGGGCAGCGTCTCCCTTTTCCTTTTAGTTAAAAATCGACTGGCCTCTCATTGTTCTGCGACACGGAGATGCTCCACCAGATGCTCTTTTAGCTGCTTTCCTTTTCTCTTCGATCTCTCAGCTCGGCTCCAGCGCACTTTTGCATCTCCAGTGATGCACGCTCAGCGTTGCCTGCTGCTGCTTACAAAGACAGTCAGTTTGGAGGAGGGGAGAAAGGGGGTTCGCCTAATTTTTTCCTGTATTGATCAAATTTTAAGAATCCAACTGGAGATGGTTACTTTTAATGAACTCCTGACCTCTAAACGAGACATTTCCAACAAAAAAGATTCATTCTGGCTCAGAAAAATCAGGAAAACATAATGTTGGGCATCTATTTAAGCATCTCAGGATACATCTTTTTATTACTCCATGCCCTGATGAACCTGTTAACCTCCCAGAAGGGGTTGCAGTCTATCTCCTGACATCTACACATGTGCTGCTCATCCTCACAAAATCTGTAGCAGATCCCAGGTGGTTGAAAACTGTAACTGGCATTACTCATCATATTACGAAGATTGCAGTGGAATACACCCCCGCACACATATGTACATAGGGGCAGGAGGGACTAAACACCTCAACAGTAAATAGTTCATCCATCTCTACCTCTCCTCTCTCATTTGCCTGTTTCGATTTGCAGAATTCTGCACAATTAAAGGCAGAATAATAATGTTTTCAACGCAAACCCCTGATGGCTGCAGCTATAGGAAATCTGCTCAGAATTTTAATAATTCATCAACACGGCGACGATGTGGAGCTGAGGTAATTTTCACCTCAAACAACACAATTAAATGACCTGTTGCATTAAGCCAGGCACTTATTCACATTAGTTTAAAGCTATAACCCACTATCTCATGTAAAGGAGCCAACAATCTTCCTCTCACTGCCGCAGCCCTTTGGATATTTGTGAAGTAAACATCTTGTTTCTTGTTTTTCAAGCCGTTCAGCGTCTGAACTCACAAGGATCAATATGCTGTGGAGTCAGTCTGGTTCCAGGCAAAGATCTACCTCCCTGCTCTAAACCGCGCTTCATCACATGATATTCCGTGTCTAGTCTGAACTCGGCGAGCCCCACTGTACAAATGGAAGCTTCTAAAAGCGGTGCTAAGGCCTGACATAACTGTTTCCAAATGAATGACTGCACAGCAGCACAGTGAGAAGTGGAGATGCCTCCGAGCGCTCGTCTGCAAGGGTCTGTGATGCAGCTCTGCTGAGGGGAACAGACAGGAAACAATTTCCCTATCAGTCACCAGGCCATCATAATTGCCAGGTGAGCATCAAGCGATCCCACCTCTGCAGGACTCCTCGCTTTTATAATGAGCACAGAGGGACGCTGGGCATCTAATCTGTGCATTCTGGCCCTCATTACGAAGAGGAGGCCATTGGCATGTTTGCAGAGTGAAAATAAGGCTATTAGTTTAAACTGTCCAAGAACCAGCCAAGCAGCAATGTGAGCTAGAGGGTTTTAATTGCTGTTTTTCCACACATGTGGTCTCAGAGACAAAAGGTTTTCCTTTATTTTTTTATTTTTTGTCAAGTGTCTCTTGCATAAACTTGTTTTTTTTTTTTGGGGGGGGGGGGCAATTAACTCAGGAGAGGATTGAGTATGCTGTTGCAAGGATGCCTTGTTCTAAAGTTTTAAGTAAAACTCTAACCAAAGTTCAGATTATATAAACAGTTTGTGTAACAGGAGCACCTAAAAATATAATTTTGTTCTATTTTCTATTTGATAGACAATCTACTAAAAGAGAAGATGGAAAGCTCAGGAGACTTTTTGTTTGTGTCAGATTTTGGTTTATATTTCCTTTTGAGCAATGGAAACCATCAATGAAAATACAGGAAAAATCAGTTCCTGTATCTTTTATAAAAGTTCTAACTCGAAAATTTTCAGTATGATGCAAAAGTTTATTTATGTCAATAATTTACCTAAAACATTAAGTACAGGCATCTAGGACAAGATTTAATTAAATACTTGAATATTTCAGTTCATTACACTGTAAAAATAAAATGTTGAATTCACTTGACCAAGTCATGACAACTGGTTCCACTAAACCTCTTTGATTAAATGTAAAGAGCAATGTGCATTTACTTTTAACATCGCCGTGTATATCAATGTTTTATTTAAGAAATAAGGTTCTGTGACACCAGCTGACATGACTCTATGTCTTATTTTTCTCCTTTAACTCATTCACTGCCAATGACGACTAAAGTCGTCATTTGCATTTTTTTACTGTTTGAGCATCAGAACGAGCCCCCGCGCTGAGAGAACAAACATCTCAGCCCTGAAGCCGATCTTCATCCGCATACGTCACAGATCACATGATCAGGAAGCAACACATCCATGTGTTTGGAGATCGCTTTGGGCCATTCCTGTAAAAAAAAGTGAGGCGCGAACCGGAAAAGCGTCTGCCGATCACAATTTGACAACGGATTATGAAAGAACGGATAACGCTCGAAACACGCGGCTTCTTCCTGATGTAAGAGGTGATTCTCCTCTTTGTTTTGGTTGTTTTGGCATCGACATCATCCTAGCGCGCAACGTTCTGTGACTCTTAAAAAAACGGTGAGAAACGTTGGCAGCAAAGGCCGTTAGTGATCAGGAAACGGCTGGCAGTGAATGAGTCAATTAAACATTGAGCATTACTCTTTTATTTTTGTCCATTTAAGGTTTGACCTTTCTATTGATCTCTATTGATTTTATGATCTAAAACATGCAGGAAATGTGCTGGAAGCAGACCGCAGTGCCAGGCATGGACACAGGTGGGGGTGGGGGTGGGGTGGGGGGCATGCCATCCATAAGCTCATCTATTGGCTCTGCTGATACTTGCTGACATGTGATTGGCCGTTCCTGCCCCCTGTACTTGACAGTTCTGCATTCCTGACATTGCATAAAAAGCTTCTAGGCTGTAGTTTTATACATATTTTTTGTATACTTGCTGTAAAGAGCTCTACCCCCCGGTCCTCATGCCCGACTTCTAACCCCCAAATTCCACTACCTCCGCTCCGGTCCGCCCCCGCCTTCCGCAGCCGCTCGCTTCCGAACTCAATTTTTACTGGTACCCGCTCTACAACGGCTCCGCTCCGGTGCGGAGACCTGAGGGGGGCAAACAAGCATGCGCGGGATTTTCGAGATCTTGCGATACAGTCCGAGCAATAAACGCGGAAGTTAGATCCAAACACCCGTTGTGCGGGAGAAGCATCGGAAATGAGCTGTTTAATCTGCCCATCATTTGTGTTGAGAGATCAGCAGTGTTTGGATCAACAAAGTGTGACTACTTTGATAGTGGCAACTGTATTTATGGCTTATTTTTGTGCATTTAAACTTCAGCCGCCATTGATAGTTGTTAAAAGTTGTTAAACCTGTGCATATGAAACAAAAAACGCCTTTTGTTTAGCGATTTATTGTGAAATACGGAAATTGTGCTTACTCCTTTTCCTGTTGGGCCGTTGTGATTTCTGTCCATTTACTGCGGAGGTGCTCCGGCGTCCGGCAAAAATAGGATCGATTCTATTTTTGCCGGACGCCGGAACAGAGGGCGCCGCACGGCGCCGCACTGCCGGAGCACGGCCGCAGTAGTGGAATTGCTCTGATTGACTAGAACAGGACCGATTTTGCTCCGGCGTTCGTGTCGGAGCGGAGCGCAGCGGAGCGGAGGTAGTGGAATTTGGGGGTTAAGTCAAAACTACTTTTAAAAAGTCCAACAGATGGCGACCCGCCACACTGAGTTTGCAAGTGTGATATTCTGACTACAGGGGGTGGTACGAGTCTGTGTGACACTTCAACAACCCTGCAAAGGGTCATTTGAGCACTTACAGGCTCAAAATGGTTTAAAAATATGAAAAAGTTGCAAACCATCCCTTTAAATGCAAGTTACTAGTACAATGTACATAGAAGTGTGCTTACTTTTTACTTCTACTTAAGTATTTACAACTCAGAAACACAAGTCCAGTAAGCACATTTCCAAGTACTATGTACTGCTTTGTCTTAGTCATAGTAACTTACATTTAAGTACATTTAGTATGTAAGTATTAGAAGCTCCAACACATTACTACCTACTCCTATGTAAATGTTTTTCTCAAGTGCAATCAGATTGCATGATTTTTATAAGTAAGTTGACCTAATCAGTTTTTACAGTGTACAAACGAAGCTAGAATTCATTCCTTTAAAATCCTATGGAAACCAGCACCACCTTTCACAGATGTTTGCAGTGTCACTTTTTCTAAAAGAGGTCATTTTTCAGGTTTAGATTTCAGGAGCTATCATGCCATCCACACAGCCTCCTTTCAGGATCATTCACAGTCGAGAAATAACCATTTAAAGTGAATGCAATAGGAATCTTTGAGCCACAGCTCTTCACCTTTAATCCCACTGAGGTTCAGTCAGCGACAGCTGAACACAAGAGAGGTTAAAAGTCCGGGCTTGTTCTTGTCACACACCAGGAGGCAGCTGATGTATAACACCATGCACTTAATTGGAAAATATGCAGATGAGTCCTCTTCTAATAAGTGTAGGATTTTGTAATATTTTGCTACGATCACCTTTTACATCCAGTCTTCTCACCATACAGGCGTTTCCCTTTTTGCATTGGTTTGTGTAAAACTTGTCTCGAACCATCAGAAGCACTTTGATGATCTTCTGTAACCCACTTCTTAAAAATAGCTGTGGTAAAGCCTGACGGGCGGGTGGAGTCCGGATTGATTTATTAATCGAATCAAACCGATGTGGGACACTAGACGCGTTTGACCCCTCTCCAAATCAGCTAAGATAGCACTCCAGGTCATTCTCCTGGAAGATCAAACAATCTCCTCTAATTTCTCATCTTCCTCCGTAATCTCCACAATCAGAGCCTGAGCAGGAAGAAAAAAAAACTCCTCCGCTCTGATGTTAGCTTCGATTGATTTGTTCGTCCATAGCCCTTCACAAATTTGCGATTTCTCCCACTAAAAATTCTCTGTAATCTCATTTTACGTTGATGCTATTGATTTTTGTATTTGTTCAAACAATCCTCTTCACATTTGAACACATGATCCATGATTTCTCTCTCTCTCTCTCTCTCTCTCTCTCTCTCTCTCTCTCTCTCTCTCTCTCTCTCTCTCTC